TTCTCGAGATTATTCACGTCTACATTTTTTTTTCATCGACGCTTGAAGGTACATTTCCCTCAGTAGCGAAACTTCTCACCCACGAGTTCGAAGTTGAACGTGGTCGAACAGGGGTGCAACACGGAGCCGCGGTTCGTAGAAGCTACGTTCCTCTTCGGGAACGCCTAGCCTGTTACATTTTTAAAGTAACTGTTCAATGACATTGCGGGCGGAAGTTCCACGGTAGGTGGGGAATCGCTCACTTACTTCTTATCCCAAGCGAGAAGTTATCGTACGTCGTGCAATTACGCTTTTGTACATGGTATATCGTCGGTAATAATAAACGAGCGGCGCTCCGATCGGAGAATGGTCAATGACGCAGGTGTGCATTTGATAATCGCTCCAGAATGGAGAAGTTTCAGTGCGAGTCGAGTCACTCGACCGCTTCGTACCACCCCCGAACCGACACGTTTTTGAAGAAAAGATCGATGCGTTCGAGTACGTTCAGTCGAATGGTGAAGGCCGGGCTTCACTTTTACGGAGTCCAGCCGTATTTGCCGTCGACCTTGCTGTTCCGATCATACTGGATTATGGCTTTGGGCACGGCTCAGATCTGTCAGTATGGTTTCGTGATCTACAGCGATCGTGACAACTTTCCCGAGTTCATGGACGGACTAAGCAGCGCGTTGGCAAACTCGCTACTTTTCACCAAGCTCATTATCCTGTGGGTCAATCAACGGTAAGATAAGGTTACGTTAACAATCTCGTTGAACTCATCGGTGCTCCCTTGTTGACATTCTATATAAAGTTCTGCTTGAAATTATTTGCATTTCTGAGGTGCATTTCTCGAGGATTACGCCCTTTCTACCATTGTCTTCCCTCATGGTTCATTGAGCCAAGTGATAGTTGTTATCCTCAGGACCGTTAAATTCATAAGATATGTATCTTTAATTTCTGAAAAGTTGTTATGAATATTACACAATCCTCCATACATGTTATTTTTATGTGCAATCAATATAACCATACTATTAAAATTATAACAATAGAAGGGTAGCTGCGATAAAAACTTTTCAGTAGTTAAGGAACGCTTCACAGATTTTATTATAAATTTGTCGTTCCTAAAGTTATACGCTGCAATTGTCAATCTTTTGGTTCAATGGGTGTAAGTAAGAAGCAAGTTTAGATTAGCGTAATCAGTAGACATTTCAGTCGACAGATGGAAAAACTTTATCTTAGAATCCGATATTCCGTAGAAAGTTTGGCGATATATTGCAAATAATGACGGCGGATTGGCAGCGTCACACGTCGAATCAACGAAGCACCAGCATAATGACGAAAACAGCATTTCTCGCATGTCGCGTGTCAAGGATAATCATTTTCATAAACGTTTCCACCGTGTTGTTGTACTGCTTCGGGGTCCTCGCCGCTAACGCGAGCGATCCCGAGAAATGGGAGCCGTACAATCGGGAGCTCATCCTGAAGATGAAATTCCCGTTCGAAATTAGCACACATCCTATCTACGTGGCTGTCACGGTGCTACAAATCATCCACCTGGTGTTCGTCGGTTGCGGCATTGGCTTCGTCAACACACTTCTCATCAATTTGGTAAGTGCGAGCTACGTCAATCCGACGATTCTGAACTAATTTAAGCGAATAATATACATATTCTCAAATCGAGCTTTAAATGTAAACTATTTAGCAGTCGGAAAATTTGCTAATAGTTATGAAAAGTGCATTACATAATGAAAAGTAGGTTACATAAATTTAATTATAAAAGTCGCATATTCAAATCCGTGAAGATGTGATCCGGCAGTTTCGATGTCCAAAGTGTTATTATATATGCTTTTTGGACACAAAGTGTATTCTTTCCCAAAATCTACGATTGAATTTGTATAAATGTTTATTCATTAAAATAGATACTTCATATCGATGGTCAAATAGATATTCTTCAGGACTGGATGAAGAGAGCTTTCTCCAGAAAAGAGTCGAAACCGTCCAAGGAGATTACACCAGAACTGTTGATCACGAAGCACCAGCAGATTATCATGTTCTCGGAGAACATCGAGAATATATACACATATATCGCATTCATGATATTATTGTCGAACACTTTGATCATTTGTTTCTTAGGATTCGTCATTGCCGTTGTAAGTATCGTGATTGAATGTGATCTTCGCTTATTTGCTATATATGGGTATCATTTGAAAAGTCATTAGAGAATATTCAGATTGGAGTGATATTACAATATGTGCATTCGTTTTGAACAATTCCGAATCTCTTCCGTGAATATTACAGTCGCTCGATAAGCCCAACGCCGAGGTAATTGTGGTAAAGTCTTTCATGTTTTACGTCTCGATGAATCTGGATGTGTTTACATACTGTTACGCCGGCGAGTATCTAAGCGCGAAGGTTAGTATCTTCAGCGATTTTAATTATTAACGAATCCGCCCCAGGTTTCCTTTCAGAACAAAATGATCGGCGACGCAGCGTACAATTCTCTCTGGTATAATGTAGCGACGAAGAACAGCCGAATCGTGTTGTTCGTAGTTGTGAGATCGCAAAAAAGATTGACTATTACGTGCGGGAAGATCATGGACCTCACTTTGGAACGTTTCACTAGCGTAAGATTCATTCTGCACTTAGCTATCTAATCGTGTAAACTATATATTTTTTATGAGCGTTTTTTATGAACCACAATTGCTGTACGTGGTAGTAAAATGAACCATTTCCTCACGTCACATGACCGAAATGTCATCTACTTCTTTGATGAGCAATAATGTTGTAGGTTGTGAAGGCTTCGGCCTCATACATGTCGGTGCTTTTGGCGATGTACTGAGGGCGGATGGGTTACGAATAATTCTGTAACATATTTCTATGAGCTAATAATAAATTACTCCTTTCTGATTTTTGGTCCAATGAAGATTTATACAAAATTGATTATATTCTAAATATGCTGCGTGTCAAATTTTTGACTATATCGGGTGTGGTGTAACGGTTTTAATGGCAGAGCTGTCAGATCATGAAATTTCTGGATTGTAATTGACATGGTAGGGAACTTACATCATAATACTTATTTATTAATTACGATCTCTTTCCTTGGTGGTCGTTTTCGACGTCTTTTATCTGTCGGTAAGAATATCTATAGTTGTTGCTTGTTATAGACGTAATTGTCTATAAGTGTACTTGTTGATATTGCTATCGATCTGATTTATTATCACTATCGATTTGGATCGCGACATTGCTAGCCATATACAGTCGCAAATAATACAAGTGCAAAATAACATTTTGAAGAATGGAATTAGTTAAACCATTCGATTCAAACAAGTAACGTGAAAGGCATGGAAAGAAAGGTCATTTGAAAATCTCTCACGGGACTTCATTTTTGCCCTCGTGTCATGTCACGCGACGTACGTTCTGACCGTCGTGAGTGTGTTTGCTACTTTCCCATCACTGTTTGCGAGGTGAAACTATAATTTTGTCGAGGTTTATTTCATCGTGGAGAACTTGTCCCTCCTCCTCCAAGGAACAACGAAACTTTTCCACCTTGCGTCGGACACGTAAGCGAAAAAGCCCATGAAAGCTGCAGCCCCGCGTCACCGCTTGTTGCATTTTTAAAGCAGCCACGCGATTGCATCATCCATGTTCGGAGACACAATGGGGAACAATACACTGCACCAAACTTTTCAAATCACGCACTGCCAAGATTATCATCACACGTAGCTCTAACTTCGTCAAACTTCGCGTACTCTATAGAAAAGGAAACGCTGAACGACCGATGTAACACGAGCAGTCGATTCTCTCCGCTCCCCCGGATTTTCTGCGAGTTTATCGAGGGGGACCCGGGGCGACGTACAGATTACCTGGTAGTACATGCGATGTGAACTTACTTATGAAGTCTCAATATACTTCATGCGTTAGTAACATCGTTCGCGTGCACTTGGATCGGATACTTTTACCACTAGCGACTAACACTAGTCTTTAGTAATTATTTTTTCAGAGATATCAGTAAGATTTCTCGTATTCGGATATTTGGGCGTAATAGCCAGGAGTATTATTTGAGGATACATCGACTCGTGATAATTTATCCGGCTTATTGTATGTAAGTATAAGACCGCAAATATAACAATGAAAATAATTTTATCGCGCGCATGATGAAAAATGTCATGCGCGACGATTACATCAACTGCAGTACTGGAATGCAAAAAAGTGGCGGAACGCGTTAACGTCGAAACTGTTATGAGCGCCTTACCTTGGTATAACATTGATCGATGTAACATTGATCAAATGTGCCGATGGTCCGGCAAAAAGAGTTAATCGTTCTCGAAAGCAAATGGTACCACGAGACGCTCGCACCGATTACGAACAAGTATCGCCCATCCAGATTCACCAATTCTCGCGGCTTCTTCGTGTCCGCCATTGTCATTGGCAACTTGTTTCTCTACGAGTGCAGCCCAACTTACAACACCTTGAATCGCGACCCCCATATCGGACGTCCCGAACTCGTCGCAATACACATCACGCGATATTTTCGAGACTATTCACGTCTTCACTTCTTTTTCTTCATCAACTCTTGAAGGTACGTTTCCCTGAATAGCGAAACTTCTCACTCATGAGTTCGCAGTTGAACGTGGTCGAGCAAGAGTACAACACGGAGCCGGTGGTTCGTGGAAGCTACGTTCCTCTTCGCCTTGCCTGCTGCATTTTTAAAATGACTGTTCGATGACGTCGCGGACGGAAGTTCCGCGGTGGGTGGGGAATCGCGCGCTTACTTTTTACTTCTTATTTCAATCGGAAAGTTATCGTACGTCGCGCAATTACGCTTTCGTACACGGTGTATCGCCGGTAATATTTAACGAGCGACGATCTGCCTGGACAACGGCCATTGACGCGGGTTGTGTGTTTGACCAACGATCCAGAACGGAGAAGTTTAGTGCGAGTGGAATCACTCGACCGCTTCGTACCATCCCCTGACTGACGCGTTTTCAAGAAAAAAATCGATGCGGTCAAGCACGTTCAGTCGAATGGTAAAGGCCGGTCTTTATTTTTACGGAGTTCGGCCGTATTTGCCGTCAACTTTGTTGTTCCGATCTTACTGGGTTGTGGCTTTGGGCACGGCTCAGGTCTTTCAGTACGGTTACGTAGTCTACAGCGATCCTGACAGCTTCTCCGAATTCATGGACGGAGTGAGCAGCGCGATGGCACACTCGCTGCTCTTCATCAAGCTGATTATCTTGTGGGTCAATCAACGGTATGACGTGCTCTTGTTAACGATCTCATTGTCCGGACTCGTCGGTGCTAGCGATTGGCACAATCGAGTGCGTGCGAAACAAACTTTTATACAGAGTGTCCCGAAATTATACCGGCAAACTTCGTGTGCTTATAAAGGATATTAAATCAAGTATTTTTTGTCGATATATGAGTTACAAGAAGTGAGTTGACAACAGTAATACCCCTTGTCCGTAGAGAAGCCGTTTTGGCACTAGTGTAGAAGATTTTATTTGTCATTTGCGATCACCCCTATTATCTTTATGCGAGACTACGAATAAGAGAGCATGTATGTACATTGGTTTATTGATAAAAATTACTTTTATGGTGTCCTTTAAAACTCGAAATTTATTGTTCTAATTTCAGGACACCCCATATAAAGCCATGCTTGGAATTATTTGTATTTTTGAAGTGATTTTTCGAGGATTACGCCCATCTTACCTTTACCTCTCATTCTCTTTCAGACAATTGATAATTTTGCGCTCAGTTTCAAGACTATAAATTTCATAAGATTTGCAAAACTCTCTATGATTTCTGAAAAGTTTTTGTCAAAACTAGACTTCCATAGATGTTGTTTTTATACGCAATCAACATTAATATATTATTAAAATTACAACGATAGAAGGGTTGCTCTATTAAATATTTTTCAATAATTAAAGAACGCTTCGCAGACACTTTAATAAATTTATTGTTCCTGAAGTTATACGCAGCGACTCGCAATCTTTTGCCTCGATGGCGAATACATAAAGTAAAGGAAGGAATGCAGGCATAGTTCCTGAAAATCATTTCATATATGGAAATAATCCCTAACACTGATACAAAGAATGTTACGCGGTGCTATTATTGATGTGTAATTTACATTGCTACTTGGTCCATTGTATCTGAAATTAGAAAATTATTGCAGTTAATATCAATTTTTATTTAGTTTATAGTGATTAATCTATATTAGTTTATATTAATTTCTATTAATTAGGCGATTATTTAGTTTCACATAATCAGTAGTCACTTCAGTCGACCGTTAAACAAACTTCATCATCAAATCCGATATTTCGTAGAAAGTTTGGCGATATATTGCGAATAATGACGGCGGATTGGCAGGGTCACACGTGGAACCACCAAAGCATGAACATAATGACGAAAACGGCATTACTCGCACGTCGCATTTCAAGGATAATCATTTTCATAAATGTTTCCTCCGTGTTCTTCTATAGTCTCGGGGTCCTCGCCGCTAACGCGGGCGATCCCGAGAAATGGGAGCCATACAATCGGGAGCTCATCCTGAAGATGAAATTTCCGTTCGAAATTAGCACGCATCCTATATACGTGGCTGTCACGGTGGTACAATTCATCCACTTAGTGTTTGTTGGCTGGGGCATTGGCTTTGTCAACACACTTCTCGTCAGTCTGGTGAGCGCGAGCTAAGCGAAACCAAATTCCGAATTAATTTGTGCAAATAATGTACGGATCCTTAAATTGTCTCTTGAACATAAATTATTTTAACAAACTGAAAACGCGCCAATAGTTATGAAAAATTCTATAAAATAGGTTAAAATAATAATAGGTTATATAAATAAAAATAGGTTATATAAATTTAATTATGAAAGTCGCACATTCTAATCCGTAAAAATATGACTGGACAGATTCGATTTCCAAAATGTTATTGTATGTAATTGTGGAACACAAAGTGAGTTCCGCTCCAACCCTATAACCGAATTTGTCCAAAAGTACATTCATTAAGACAGATACTTCACATCGGTGGTCAAATCGACATTCTTCAGGACTGGTTCAAAAGAGCATTCGCTAGAAACGAATTGGAGCAGTCGAACGAGATTACGCCACAACTGCTGGTAACGAAGCACCAACAGATTATCATGTTCTCGGAGAACATCGAGAATCTCTACACATACATCGCATTCATGATATTATTGTCGAACACCCTGATCATTTGTTGCTTAGGATTCGTCATTGCCACTGTAAGTATCGAGACGGAAATTGATCTTCGCTAGTTTGCCAGAACGGGTATCACATAAAAAGTCGTTAGGGAATATTCAGATTGGAGGGATATTACATTACATGTATTTGTATTGAACAATTCCGAATCATCCCCATGAATATTGCAGTCTCTTGACGAGCCCAACGCTGCGGCAATTTTGGTGAAGTCTTTCATGTTTTACGTCACGATGAATCTGGATGTGTTTACATACTGCTACGCCGGCGAGTATTTGAGCGCGAAGGTTAGCATCTTTAGCGATTTTAATGATTCACAAATCCGTCCGAGTTATCTTTTCAGAGCAAAATGATCGGCGACGCAGCGTACGATTCTGTTTGGTATAACGTCGCGGCGAAGAATAGTCGGATCGTGTTTTTCGTCGTTTTGAGATCGCAGAAACAACTAACGATTACGTGCGGAAAAATCATGGACCTTACTTTGGAACGTTTCACTAGCGTAAGATTTATTCTGCATTTGATTATCTCATTGCGTGAACTGTATATTTTTTTATGAGCGTCCTTTGAGAACCACAATTGGCAACCAGGGCAGAAAAATGTACTGTTTCATTATGTGACCAAAATATCATTTACTTATTTGACGGGCAATAATGTTATAGGTTGTGAAAGCATCGGCTTCATACATGTCGGTGCTTTTGGCGATGTACTGAGGGCGGATGGGTTATGGACAATGCTGTAACATATTTCTATGAGCTAGTAATAAATGATTCCTTTCAGGTTTTCGGTCTAATGAAGATTTTATACAAAATCTAATTGAATACATTCTAAATTTGCTGCGTGTCAAATTATCGAAGAGATCGGGAGAGAAGTATCAGTTTTAATGGCAGAGCTGTCAGATTATGAAATTTCTGGATCGTAATTCACATGTTGATGAGCTTACATCACGATACATGAATACGAAGCTTGCAATACACGATACTCGCGAACTTGTCCTTCCTCCTCCAAGGAACAACGAAGCTTTTGTGCTGTATTCTTATCTGTTACAAATACTGCGTTCTGATTAATAGAAGATTTATAGAAATCACATGAATTACGAACTCTTTGTTTGATGGCCGTTTTCGACGACTTTTATCTCTCGATAGGAATATCTATAGTTGTTGCTTGTTGTAGATGTACTTGTCTATAGGTGTACTTGATATCGCTATCGATCTAATCTATCACCCCTATCGATTTGGATCGCGACACTGCTAGCGACATATAGTCACAAATAATACAAGAGAAAATTAATGTTTTGGAAAATGGAATTAGTTAAACCATTCGATTTTAACAAGCTACGTGAAAAGCATTTAAAAAATGGTCATTCGAAAATCTCCCACGAAACTTCATTTTTGCCCTTGTCATGTCACGCGACGTACATCTCAACGTCGTGAGTGTGTTTGCTACCTTCTCTTCACTGTTTGCGAGGTGAAACTATAATTTTAAGGTTCATTTTGTCGCGGCGAACTTGTCCTTCCTCCTCCAAGGAACAACGAAACTTTTCCACCTTCGCATTGGACACGTAAGCGAAAAGCCCATGAAAGCTGCAGTCCTGCGTCACCGCTTGATGCATTTTTAAAGCGGCCACGCGGTTGCATCGTCCATGGCCGGAGACATGATTGGGAACAATACAATGCCCCGAACTTTTCAAATCTCGCACTGCCAAGATTATCATCACACGTGGCTTTAACTTCATCAAACTTCGCGTACCTGGCTATAGAAACGTAAACGGGAAACGACCGATATTTGGTAACGAGGGCAGCTGATTTCCTTCGCTCCCCCCGGATTTTCCGCGAGTTTACGTGAAAAAGGATCGAGGGGGACCCAAGGCGACGTACAGGTTATCTGGTATTACACGCAATGTGATCTTACTTATGAAGTTTCAATATACTTCATGCGTAAGTAACATCGTTCGCGTGCACCTAGATCCGATACTTTTACCACTAGCGACCAACACTACGTGATTAATAATTTTCCTATTCAAAGACACAATGGGATTCTTCGTATTCGAATATTTGGGCGCAATTGCGAGGGGTATCATCTCAGGAAACATCGACTCGTGATAATTTATCCGACTTATAGTATGTAAGCACAAGATCGCAAATATGACAATGAAAATAAATTTTATCGCGTGCGCATGATAAAAAATGTCATGCGACGATTACATCGACTACAGTACCGGAATGCAAAAGGCAACTGGCTGAACACGTCAACATTGAAATTGTTATGACCGTCTTACCTCGGTGTAACAATGATCGATATAACATTGATCAAATATGCCGATGATACAGTAAAATGAGTTAATCGTTCTCAAGAGCAAGTGGTACCACGAGACTCTCGCCTGAATTATTAACAAGAATCGTCCGTCCAGATTTATGAATTCTCGCGGCTCCTTCGTGTCCGCCACTGTCATTGGCAACATGTAACTCTACTAAAGCACACTGGCTTACAACATCTTGAATCGCGACCCACATATCGGATGTCTCGAACTCGTCGCAATACACATCACGCGATATTCTCGAGACTATTCACGTCTTCACTTCTTTTTCTCATCGACGCTTGAAGGTACGTTGTTCTCAGCAGCAAAACTTCTCACCCTTGAGTTCACAGTTAAACGTGTCCGAACAGGGGTGCAACACGGAGCCGGCGGTGCGTGGAAGTTACGTTCCTCTTCGGGAACGCCTTGCTTGGTGCATTTTTTAAATAACTGTTCAATGATATCGCGAGCGGAAGTTCCACGGTAGGTGGGGAATCATGCGCTTACTTCTTACTTATTATTTCAGTCGGGAAGTTATCGTTCGTCGCGCAATTACACTTTCGCACGTGGTATATCGTCGGTAATATTAAACGAGCGGCGTTGCAACCGGAGAATGGCCAATGACGCGGGTGTGCATTTGATAGTTGATCCAGAACGGAGAAGTTTTAGTGCGAGTCGTATCACTCCACCGCTTCGTACCACCCCCGGACAGACGCGTTTTCATGAAAAAATCGATGCGATCATGCACGTTCAGTTGAATGATGAAGGCTGGACTGCACATTTACGGAGTCCAGCCGTACTTACCGTCAACCTTGCTGTTCCGATCATACTGGGTTATGGCTTTGGGTACGGCTCAAATCTTTCAGTACGGTTTCGTGATCTACAACAAACGTGACAACTTTCCCGAGTTCATAGACGGACTAAGCAGCGCGTTGGCAAACTCACTATTCTTCATCAAACTGATTATCCTGTGGGTCAATCAACGGTAAGATAAGCTTACGTTAACGATCTCGTTGTTCGGACTTATTGGTGCTACTTATTGACATTCTATATAAAGTTCTGTTTAAAATTATTTGCATTTCTGAGGTGATTTTTCGAGAATTACACCCTTTTTGCCTTTCTCCCTCATCTTTTAAGCCAAATGATAATTTTTATGCTCAGGCTCAGGGTCGTTAAATTCATAAGATATGCAAGAATCTCTTTAATTCCTGCAATGTTGTTAAGAAAGTTAGTTCTCCAAACATGTAATTTTTATATACAATCGATATAACCATATTATTAAAATTATAACGATAAAAGGGTTGCTTCGATAAAAATCTTTTCAGTAATTCAGGGACGCTTCACAAATTTTTTTATAAATTTGTCGTTCCTGAAGTTATGCGCTGCGAATGTCAATCTTTTGTTTCGATGGATGTAACTAAGAAGCTATGGAAAGAAACTAGCCATAGCTTCTGAAAATAATTTCAAATATATAAATAATTCCGAGCACTGATAGGAAGAATATTACGCGGTGCTATTATCGGCATATAATTTACATCGCAACTTGGTTCATTACATGTGAAAATTAATAAAATTATTGCAGTTGATATTAATTTTCGTGTAGTTTATATTAATTTTAAATAATTAATCTATATTAGTTTACATTAATTTTTATCCGTTAGTCGTAATTTAGTTTAGCGTAATCTTTAGACACTTTAGTCGATAGATGGATAAACTCTAAAATTGAATCCGATATTCCGTAGAAAGTTTGGCGATATATTGCGAATAATGACAGCGGATTGGCAGGGTCACACTTCGAACCAACGAAGCATGAGCATAATGATGAAAACGGCATTACTCGCACGCCGCATGTCCAGAATCATCATTTTCATAAATGTTTCTACCGTGTTGTTATACTGCCTCGGGGTCCTTGCCGCTAATGCGAGCGATCCCGAGAAATGGGAGCCTTACAATCGGGAGCTCATCCTGAAGATGAAATTCCCGTTCGAAATTAGCACCCATCCTATCTACGTAGCTGTCACGGTGGTACAATTCATTCATTTGGTGTTCGTCGGCTTCGGTATTGGCTTTGTCAACACACTCCTCATCAATCTGGTAAGTGTAAGCTACGCGAAACCGACAATTCTGAACTAATTTGTGCGAATATTATACATATTCTTAAATTGTCCTTTAAATGTATGCTATTCTAACAGTCAGAAAACTTGCTAATAGCTATGAAAAATTCATTATAAAAGTAGGTTATATAAATTTAATTATGAAAGTCGCACATTCCCTGAAAATATGAAAGGACAATTTCGATTTTCAAAATGTTATTATACGGGATTCTGAGATACAAAATATGTTTCTTCCCAAACCCTACGATCGAATTTATCTAAATGTTTGTTGATTAAGATAGGTACTCCATATCGATGGTCAAATCGACATTCTTCAGGACTGGTTGAAGACAGCTTTCTCCAGAAATGGATCGAAACCGTCGAAGGAAATTACAACACAACTGTTGATTACGAAGCACCAGCAGATTATTATTTTCTCGGAGAACATCGAAAATATCTACACATACGTCGCATTTCTGATACTATTGTCGGATACCCTGATTATTTGTTTCTTAGGATTCGTCATTGCCATTGTGAGTATCGTGGTTGAAAATGATCTTCGCTAGTTTGCTAGATAGTAGTCGTTAGAGTCAAATTGGAAGGGTACTATGTTATGTACATTTTTATTGAACAATTCCGAATGGCTCCCGTGAATATTGCAGTCACTCGATAAGCCCAATGCCGCGGTAATAGTGGTGAAGTCTTTCATGTTTTACGTCATGATGAATCTGGATGTATTTATATACTGCTACGCCGGCGAGTATCTGAGTGCTAAGGTTAGCATCTTCAGCGATTTTAATGATTCACGAATCCGTTCCAGTTTTTCTTTCAGAGCAAAATGATCGGCGACGCAGCGTACGATTCTCTCTGGTACAACGTCGCTGCGAAAAACAGTCGGGTCGTGTTGTTCGTAGTTTTGAGGTCGCAAAAACGACTGACGATTACGTGCGGGAAGATCATGGACCTCACTTTGAAGTGTTTCACTAGCATAAGATTCATTTTGTACTTAAATATTTCTTCGTATGAACTAGATATTTTTCATGAGCGTCCTTTAAGAACTTCAATTGGTACCAAGAGCAGAAAAATGATTCGTTTCATCACGATTCAACCGAAGTATCGTCCACTTATTTGATAAGCTATAAATATTGTAGGTTGTAAAGGCATCGGCATCATATGTCGGTGCTTTTGGCGATGTACTGAGGGCGAATAATTTATTGACAATGCTGTAATATATTTCTATGAGCTAGTAATAAATTACTTTTTTCTCGTTATCTGCTCAATGAAGATTTATACGCAATCTAATAATTGATTATATTTTAAATTCGCTGCGTGTCAAATTTTCGACTAGATCGATAGAAGCGACGGTTTAATGGCAGAATTATCAGATCATGGGATTTCTGGACCGTAATTCATATTATGGAGAACTTACGCGCTGCATGAATATAAAGCTTGCGATACACGATGCTTTTGTGCTGGATTCGTACGTATTAGAAATATTGCGTTTGATTAGTACATTTATAAAAATCACATGAATTACGATTGTTTTGTTTAGTGGTCGTTTTCGACGTCTTCCTTCTCTCGGTAGGAATGTCTATAGCTACTACTGTATGCGTTGATATCTCTATCGATCTGATCTATTGCACTATTGATTCGGATCGCGAGGTTACTAGCGACACAGTCACAAACCATATTAGTGCCAAACAATGTTTTGGATAATGGGGTTCGTTAAACCACTCGATTCAAACAAGTAACGTGAAAAGTATGTAGAGAATGGTCGTTCGGAAATCTCCCACGGGACTTCATTTTGCCCTCTTCTGATATTACGCGACGTGCACTGTCGTGAGTATGTTTGTTTCCTTCCCTGTTTGCGATGTGAAATTATAATTATGTTGAGGTTTATTTCCTCGCGGCGAACTTGTTTCTTCTCTTCCAAAGAAACTTTTCCACCTCGCCCTGGACACGTAGACGAAAAAGCCCATGAAAGCCGCAGTCCCGTATTGTCGCTTGTTGCATTTTTAAATCGGTTGCATCGTCCATAGTCGGAGACACGAACGTGGAACAATATGCTGCCCTGAACTTTTCAAATCTCACACTGCGGTTGCCAAGATTATCATCACACGTGGCTCTAACTTCGTCAAACTTCGCGTATCTGGCTATAGAAACGTAAACGGTGAGCGACTGATATTCAATAACGTAAGCAGTCGACTCGGGAACTTCGTTTCCCCGGATTTTCCGCAAGTTCACGCGAAAAAAGATCGCGGGGGACTCGGCACCATACAGGTTATCCGGTGTTACACGCGATATGAACCAACTCATGAAGTTTTAGATTTTATGCATTAGTAACATAATTTGCGTGTACCTGGACCCGACACTTTTATTACTAGTCGACAGCACTTTTCGTGATTTGCAATTTTCCTATTCAGAGATACGATGGGATTTTTCGTATTCGAGTATTTGAGAGTACAGGATATAGCCAGTCATTTGAGGAAACGTCAATTCGTGATAATTCATCCAGCTCATAGTACATAAGCACAAGGCTGCAAATATAACAAAGATAATGAAATGTCACGAATGTGACGATTACATCGATTGCAATAGCGGAACACAGATGATCGGCAAGAGTCGTCAACATTGAAATTGTTGCGGTCGATTCAGCTTAGTGTAATAATGATGAAACATGCCGATGACCCAACAAAAGGTATCAGTCGTTTTTGAAAGCAAATAATACTAGACACGCGTTTCCATTACGGAAATGAATCGCTTTTCGAAATCCACCTCTTCCAGCGGTCCCTTTGTGCCCGTTGCTGCCATCGGCCATCCGTTCCGTTTTCTTCAAGAGCTCTCCGGTTTACGACACCTTGAGTCGTGACTTCTGTTCCGGAGGCCTCCTCCTCGTGGCTATAAGCATCACACGATAATCGAGAGACTACTCGCGTTCTCTCTTCTTTTCCTATATCGGCGCTTACTGGTACGCTTTTCTCAGCAGTAAAGCTTCCCACCCATAAGTTCATGGTTGAACATGACCGAACGGCGGAGCAACACCAAACCGGCGGTTCGTGGAAGCTACGTTTCTCCTCGGGAACGTCCTGCCTTACCTGCTGCATATTTAAAATGACCGTTCGATTATATAGCGGGCGGAAGTTCGACGACTGGTGGAGAAGTACGTGCTTACTTCTTACTTCAATCCCGAAATTATCCGGCGCATTGAGCAGTTACATTTCTGTACGCGGTGTATCGTCAGTAATATTTAACGAGCGGCGACCTGGCCGGACGCGATGACCGATGATGCGGCAAGCGTTACGACATCGATCCAGTAGATAGAGATTTTAGTGAAGGTGGAATCGCTCGACCGCTTTGTTTTATCACCAGACCGACGTGTTTTCCAGAAAGAAGCTATGCGAATGAGCACGTTCAGTCGGACAGTGAAGGCCGGGCTCCGCTTTTTCGGCATCTGGCCGTATTTACCGTTGACCTGGCTGACCCGATCGTACTGGATCATATCGTTCGTTACGGCCCAGGTTTTTCAATATATCTACGTAGTCAACAACGAACCGAGTAGCTTCTCCGAGTTCATGGACGGAGTGGGCAGCACGGTGACGCATTCATTCACGCTGATAAAACTCATTATCCTGTGGGTCAATCAAAGGTAAGACGCGCTTATGTCAACAACCTCGTTGTCCAGATACGTCTGCGTTACCAACACAAGCGAGGCGAACGGAAGATGCAAGGAGAAAAAAGTAGGCACAGATCTTGAAAAATGGAAAGTGTAAATCACTCTGAGCACTGTTATGAAGAATGTCACGCGGATGTGATCGGTGTGTAATTTATATCCGAAAATGGTCCGCTGTATCTCATAATTAGCAAAATAATTGTGGTCTACATTAATTTTTAGTTAGTATATTTAAGTTCGTAGTAATCAGTCTAGTTAGTTTCTATTAGTATTTATTAGTTTTTATTAATTAGTGGTTACTTTAGTTTTACGTAACCAGTAGTCACGATAGTCGACAGTGTTAAACAAACTTCAAAGTCAGATATGATATTCCGTAGAAAATTCAAAGACATATTGCAAATGATGACAGCGGATTGGCAGAATCATACGTCGAAACATCAACACCTGAACATCATGACAAAAACGGCATTCCTCGCAAGCCGCATGTCCAGGATAATCGTAGGCTGGAATCTTTGCTCCGTGGTTATGTATAGTCTTGGGGCCATCGCTGCCAACGTGGGCAATCCCGAGAAATGGAAGCCGTACAATCGGGAGCTCATTCTTAAAATGAAATTCCCATTTGAGATTAGCACGCATACTATTTATGTAGTTGTCACGTTGGTCCAGTTTATCCATTTGGTGTTCATTGGCTTCACTTTGGGCATCTTCAACTCACTTCTCGCTACTCTGGTTAGTCCGAACGTGTTTCCAACTTAATATATACGTATAATGCACAGATCCTTCAATTATCCTTTAAATGTAAACATTTTAGTCGTTGGGGAAACTGCTATAATATTTATTTAAAATACATTAGTTCAGAACGGGCTATATAAATTATAAAAATCGCACACTTAGTACTACTATATCTAGTCTGTAACAAAATAACCGGAAAACTTTGAAACCTCAGAGTGTTATTATGTGATCGTGACACAAATGTGCTTCAATCCAAACCGCATGAGCGAGTTCGTCTAAAAGTTCATTCATTAAGACAGATACTTCATATCGGTGGTCAAATCGAAATTCTTCAAGACTGGTTGAAGAGCGCATTTTCGACAAACGAGTCGGAACAGTCAGACGAGATTACGCCGCAACTGTTGATCACAAAGCATCAGCAGATTATCATGTTTTCGGAGAGCATCGAAAATTTTTACACATCCATCGCATTCATAATACTATTGTCGGACACGATGATCATTTGTTGTTTAGGATTCGTCATCGTCACTGTGAGTGTCTTAATTAAGAGTGATCTTCTCTAGTTTGCTAGATCGCGTAAAAAGCCGTTAACGAGTAGTCATATTGCAAGAATACTACATTTTGTACATTCGTATCGAACAATTCCGAATCGCTCACGTGAATATTACAGTCGCTCAATGAGCCCAACGCCGCGGCGATTTTGGTGAAATGTATCATGTTCTACATCTCGATGAACTTTGAAGTGTTTTTATACTGCTACGCCGGCGAGTACCTGAGCGCTAAGGTTAGCATTGATAGCGATTTTAATGATTCACAAATCCGTGCAAGTTTTTCTTTCAGAGTAAACTGATCGGCGACGCAGCATATGATTCTCTCTGGTATAACGTCGCGGCGAAGAACCGTCGGATCGTGTTGTTCGTAGTTTTGAGGTCACAGAAACGTCTGACAATTACATGCGGGAAGGTCATGGACCTCACTTTGGAACGATTCACTAGCGTAAGATTTGATTTACATTTAACTATATCGTCGTGTGAATTGTACATTTTTCATGAGCGCTCGTTAAGAACTTCAATTGACACCGAAAGCTGGAAAACGAGCCGTTTCATCACGTGATCGAAGTAAGTAAAATAAGTCTGCTTATTTGACGAGACGTAATATTGTAGGTTATGAAGGCATCGGCGTCGTACATATCGGTGCTTTTGGCGATGTACTGAAGGCGTATAGTATATTGATGATGCTATTATATATTAGTGTGAATAATAATATTTTGGACAATAGAATTCGTTAGTAAGCTGCAAATATATCAAGTTTGTTGTAAATGATAGTTTTCAATTTTCTATTCGTTTTCCTCGAGTTAAATATACTAAATATTAACTCTCTATATGTCGTGCGACGTACACTCGTCGTTGTGAGTGTGTTTGCTACCTTCCCGCCACTGCGGCGTGGAATTATAATTTTGTCGAGGTTCGTACCATCGCGACTAACTTGTCCCTCCTCTCGTGATTCTCTCCAAGTAGCAATGAAACTTTTTCACCTCGCACTGGATACGCAGGCGGAAAAGCCCTGGAAAGCTGCAGTCCCGCACCGCCGCTTGTTGCATTTTTCAGCGGCCATGCGGTTGCATCGTCCATGGTCGGAGACATGACGGGGAACAATACGCTGTCCTGAACTTTTCAAATCTCGCAATGCGACTGACAGGATTATCGTCACACATGGCTCTAACTACGACCAACTTCGCGTACCTGGCTATGGAAACGTAAACGGTGAGCGACCGATGTTCGGTAACGTAGCAGTGGACTCCCTCCGCTCCCCTGAATTCTCTGCGAGTTTACGCGAAGAAGGATCGCGGGAGACGCCATACAGATTACTCGGTGTTTCACGCGATGTGAACTAACTCATGAGATCTCAATGTACATTATGCGTTAGTAACATCATTCGCGTGCACCAAAACTCGATATTTTTACTACCAGCCGCCAGCGCTTTGCGTGATTAGCAATTTTTCTATTCAGAGACAGGACGGGATTTTTCATATTCAAGTATTTGAGCGCGTGTTAATCATCTAGGAGTATCGTTTGCGGAAATATTAACTCGCGATAATATATCCGACTTGTAGTACATAAGCACAAGCCTGCAAATATAACAATCATAATAATTTCATCACGCGCGCGTGATAAAAAATGTCTCGCACAATGATTACATCGGTTGCAGGAGTAGAACGCAAAAGACAGGCATCGACATAATAGCTACTACGACCGACTCAGCTTAACCGTTTTAGTGCCAGGGGTTTTTAAAAATCCGTGTCGGATTGTGCCATGCTTCGTTCATTTATCTGCGAGTAATGCCGATCGACGCGATCGCGCTGCTCTTGTTTTTCGTCGAAATATGCCGCTCGGCGCGCTCGCGCTTCATTTCATCAGTCATATCAGAAACGTAAATTAAATAAAAACAGCTCATTTATGCAGGTGGTTTACGATTATTTAAAAAAAAAAAGTAATTACGAGAGGAAACTCTGATATGACTCACGACGAGCTACATTCGGAACCGAGCGCGTTGCGAATTGACGATCGTGACCAAACATCGCGGCACATTTCACTACAGTACGCGAACAGCGCGATCGCGCTGCGTGGCGCTAAAACGGTTAATATAATAATAATCGAGCATGCTGATGACCCAACAGAAGGCATTAGTTTTTCTCGAGGACAAATAATATCATCAGACATTCGTCTCGATTACGAAGAAGGATCGCATGTCGAGATTCACCCCTCCTCATCGCCCCTTCGCGTCCACCACTGTCATCGGCGACCGATTCCATCCTTCTCGGGAGCACCCTGGTTTACGACACCTTGAGTCACGATTTCCGCATCTGAAGTCCCCTTCATGTCGTGACAAGCATCACGCAATGATCACGCGACTCTACTTCGAGTTTTCTCTTCTGTTTCCCATCGCCACTGACTGGTACGTTTCCTTCAAGAGTGAAACTTTTTACTCATAAGTTCACGTTTCAACGTGGCCGACCGGGAGTACACCATGGTGCTTGCGATTCGTGGAAGGTACGTTTCTCCTCGGGAACGCCCTACCTTGCCTGCTGCATTTTTTAAATGACCGTTCGATGACATAGCAAGTTCGACGACGGGTAGGAAAGTACGCGCTTACTTCTTACTTCAATCCGGAAGCTATTGTGCGTCGAGCAATTACACTTTTGTACGCGGTGTCTTGTCAGTAATATTTAATGAGCGGTGTTCTGAGCGGGCAATGACACGGGCGTGCGTTCGAACGTCGATCCAAAGGAGAGAGATTTAGTGTACGCTCGACTGCCTCGTAACGCTGTTGGGCTGGCGTGTTTTCGAAGAAAGAAAAATGCGGACAAGCACCTTCAGTCGGATAGTGAAGGCCGGGCTTCGCTTTTTCGGAATCTGGCCGTATTTACCGTTGACCTGGCTGGTCCGATCGTATTGGATCATATCGTTAGTTACGGTGCAGGTCTTTCAAAACATCTACGTAGTAAACAACGAACCGAGTAGCTTCTCTGAGTTCATGGACGGAGTGGGCAGCGCTGTGACGCACTCATTCATGATGATAAAACTCATTATCCTGTGGGTCAATCAAAGGTAAGACGCGATTATGTTAAAGACCCCGTTGTCCAGATACATCTGCGCTCCTAACACGAGCGAGGCGAGCGGAAGATGCAAGGAGAAAAAAATAGATACAGTTCTTGAAAAATGTAAAGTGTAAATCACTCTGAGCACTGATATGAAGAATGTCACGCGGATGTGATCGGTGTGTAGTTTGTATCCCAAAATGGTCCGTTGTATTTCATAATTAGCAAAATAATAGTGGTCTATATTAGTTTTTAGTTAGTATATTTAAAGTCTTAATAATCAATCTAGATAGTTCTTATTAGTTTTTACTAGTTTCTATCAATGAGAGGTTACTTTATTTTATATAATCAGTAGACACGATAGTCGACAGTGTTGGACAAACTACAAAGTCAAATTTGATATTCCGTAGAAAATTCAGAGATATATTGCAAATGATGACGGCTGATTGGCAGAATCATATGTCGAAACATCAGCCCCTGAACATCATGACAAAAACGGCATTCCTCGCACGCCGCATGTCTAGAATAATCGTAGGCTGGAATCTCTGCAACGTGGTCATGTACAGTCTTGGGGTCATCGCCGCCAACGTGGGCGATCCCGAGAAATGGGAACCGTACAATCGGGAGCTCATTCTTAAAATGAAATTCCCGTTCGAGATTAGCACGCATACTATTTACGTAGTTGTCACGGTGGTCCAGTTTATCCATTTGGTGTTCATCGGCTTCATTTTGGGCATTCTCCATTCACTTCTCGCTACTCTGGTTAGTCCGAGCGTCTTTAAAACATATATATATGTGTATAATACACGGATCCTTAAATTGTTCCTTAAATATAAAACATTTTAGCAGCTGGAGAAACTGCTGTAATACTTATCTAAAATTAATTTGTTAAGAGCGGGCTATATAAATTTAATTATAAAAATCGCATACGTAGTACTACTGTGTCTAGTCTGTAACAAAACGACCGGACCACTTTGAGACCTCAGATTGTTATTATGTGATCATCATACACAAAATGTGCTTCAATCCAAACCGCATGAGCAAGTTCGTCTAAAAGTTCATTTATTAAGACAGATACTTCATATCGGTGGTCAAATCGAAATTCTTCAAGACTGGTTGAAGAGCGCATTTTCCAGAAACAAGTCGGAACAGTCGGACGAGATTACGCCGCAACTGTTGATCACAAAGCATCAGCAGATTATCATGTTCTCGGAGAACATCGAAAATCTCTACACGTCCATCGCATTCATGGTACTATTGTCGGACACCATGATCATTTGTTGTTTAGGATTCGTCATCGTCACTGTGAGTGTCTTAATTAAGAGTGATCTTCTGTAGTTTGTTAGATCGCGTAAAAAGCCGTTAACGATTATTCATATTGCAAGAATACTACATTTTGTACATTCGTATCGAACAATTCCGAATCGCTCACGTGAATATTACAGTCGCTCAATGAACCCAACGCCGCGGCGATTTTGGTGAAATGTATCATGTTCTACATCACGATGAACTTTGAAGTATTTTTATACTGCTACGCCGGCGAGTACCTGAGCGCTAAGGTTAGCATTGTTAGCGATTTTAATGATTCACAAATCCGTGCCAGTTTTTCTTTCAGAGCAAACTGATCGGCGACGCAGCATATGATTCTCTCTGGTATAACGTCGCGGCGAAGAACCGTCGGATCGTGTTGTTCGTCGTTTTGAGGTCACAAAAACGTCTGACGATTACTTGCGGGAAGATCATGGACCTCACTTTGGAACGTTTCACCAGCGTAAGATTCGTTTTGCTTTTATCTATCTTGTCGTGTGAACTGTATTTTTCATGAGCGTCCGTTAACAACTTCAATTGACACCGAGAGCTGGAAAACGAGCCGTTTCATCATGTGATCGAAGTAAGTAGAATATGTCTGCTTATTTGACGAGACATAATGTTGTAGGTTATGAAGGCATCGGCGTCGTACATGTCGGTGCTTTTGGCGATGTATTCAAGGCGTTTAGCATATTGACGATACTATTTTATATTAATGCGAAAAATAATATTTTGGACAATAGAATTCGTTAGTGAGCTGCAAATATATCAAGTTTGCTGTAAATGATAGTTTTCAATTTTCTATTCATTTTCCCCGAGTTAAATATATTAAACATTATTTCCCTATATGTCGTGCGACATACACTCGTCGTTAGTGTATGTGGAATTATAATTTCGTCGAGGTTCGTACCATCGCGACCAACTTGTCCCTCCTCTCGTGATTCTCTCCAAGTAGCAATGAAACTTTTCCACCTCGCACTGGACACGCAGGCGGAAAAGCCCTTGAAAGCTGCAGTCCCGCACCGTCGCATGTTGCATTTTTCAGCGGCCACGCGGTTGCATCGTCCATGGTCGGAGATTTGACGGGGAACAATACACTGTCCTGAACTTTTCAAATCCTGCATTGCAACTGCCAGGATTATCGTCACACATGGCTCTAACTACGACCAACTTCGCGTACCTGGCTATAGAAACGTAAACGGTGAGCGATCGATGTTCGGTAACGCAGCAGTCATCTCCCTCCGCTCCCCGAATTTTCCGCGAGTTTACGCGAAGAAGGATCGCGATAGACGCCGTACAGATTACTCGTTTTTTCACACGATATGAACTAACTCATTAGGTTTCAATGTACTTGATGTGTTAGTAACATCGTTCGCGTGCACCAAAACCCGATATTTTTACTACCAGCCACCAGCGCTTTGCGTTATTAACAATTTTCCTATTCTGCGACAGGACGGGTTTTTTTATATTTGAGTATTTATGCGCGTGTTAACCATCTAGGAGTATCGTTTGCGGAAATATCGACTCGCGATAATATTATATCCGACTTGTAGTACATAAGCATAAGGCTACAAATATAATAATGATAATAATTTTATCGCGCACGCATGATAAAAAGTATCACGCACGACGATTGCAGGAGTGGAACGCAAAAGACATTGAAGCTGCTACGACCGATTCAGCTTGATATAATAATGATCGAACATGCCGATGACCCAACAGAAGGCATTAGTTTTTCTCGAGAGCAGATAATATCATCAGACATTCGTCATAAGTTCGCGGTTCAACGTGGCCGACCGGGAGTGCACCATGGTGCTGGCGACTCGTGGAAGGTACGTTTCTCCTCGGGAACGCCCTACCTTGCCTGTTGCATTTTTTAAATGACCGTTCAATGACATATCAAGTTCGACGACGGGTAGGAAAGTACGCGCTTGCTTCTTACTTCAATTCAGAAACTATTATGCGTCTAGCAATTACACTTTTGTACGCGGTATGTTGTCAGTAATATTTAACGAGCGGCGTTCTGAACGGGCAATGACACGGACATGCGTTCGAATGTCGATTCAAAGGAGAGAGATTTAGTGAGGGTGTGAGCGCTCGGCTGTCTCGTATCGCTACTGGGCCGACGTGTTTTCGGGAAAAGAAGGATGCGGACAAGCACCTTTAGTCGGATAGTGGAAGCTGGGCTCCGCTTTTTCGGCATCTGGCCGTATTTACCGTCGACTTGGCTGGCCCGGTCGTACTGGATCATAACGATGGGCACGGCCCAAGTCTTTCAGTACACCTACGTAATCAACAACAAACCGGCCAGCTTCTCCGAGTTCATGGACGGAGTGAGCAACACGGTGACGCACTCACTCATATTGATCAAACTCATTGTTCTGTGGGTCAATCAAAGGTAAGACTTGTTTATATTAAGGTTGTCTGGATATATCTATGCTACGAACGCGATCGAGTGCGAAACATGCTATTATGTAAATCAGTGCTCGGAGTTAATTACACTTTCGAGACTAGGCCTATTTCCTTCCCTTTTGTCATTCCCTTGCTCGTTCATTGAGCGATACGACTGAAAGTTATTGCGCTCAACTTTAGAACCGACAACTTTATAAGACTTACAAGACCCTGTTTAATTTTTGCAAAGTTTTTTATTGAAATTAGTTTTCTATGCATGTTTTCTATCAACATGATTATACTATTAATGTTGCAACACAGAACAAAAATGACTATAGAATAAAAGTAGTTTTGCCATAAAAATTGATCAGTAATTAAGGAGCGCATCTCATAGGTCTTGTTTTATTGGTCCTTAAGTTATGGGTTGCGACAAGCGTTTGGTTCGACAGGCGAGTGGAAGATACAAAAGCAAAAAGGTAGACACAGATCTTGAAAATCAACTGGAACTAATTTCAAGCACTGTTGTAAAGAATATCACGCGATGTTATTGTCGGTGTGTAATTTATATCGCAAGTTGGTGCATTTTATCCAATAATTAGCAAAATAACTGCAGTCTATATTAATTTTTATTTAGTATATACTAGCTTGTAGTAATTAATTTTAATAATTAGCCTGTGTTAATTTGTATTAGTTTTTGCCAGTCAGTCGGTATATCAGTTTTGCGTAATCAGTAGCCACGACAGTCGATAGTTGGACAAACTTCAAAATCAAATTGGGTATTCCGTAGAACGTTTTGGGATATGTTGCGAATGATGTCGGCAGATTGGCAGAATCACGCGTCGAACCATCAGACTCGGAACATGATGACGAAAGCGGCATTTCTCTCACGCCGCATGTCGAGGATGATCGTCGCCCTGAATCTTTGCTCTGTGCTTCTCTACTCTTTTGGTATTATTGCCGCTAACGCGGGCGATCCCGAGAAATGGGAGCCGTACAATCGGGAGCTCATTCTTAAGATGAAATTCCCGTTCAAGATTAGCACACATACTATTTACGTGGCTATCACAGTGGTCCAATTCATCCATTTGGTGTTCCTCGGCTTCAATTTGAGCATTCTCAACTCACTTCTCGCTACTCTGGTTAGTCCAAGTTCCGCGAAACCGACTTTTCCGATTCAATATATACGAATAATGCTGAGATCCTCAAATTGTAAAATATTTTAGCAGTCACAGTTATTTAAAAAAATAGGCTATATTTTAGTTATACAAATCGCGAACTGATTGTCCTAGTCTGTAACGAAACGACCGGACCGGACTTTGGTCCTCAGAGTGTCATCATATAATCATCGCGACAAAAAATGCATTTCAATATAAACCGCACAAGCGAGTTTAAAAGTTCATTCATTAAGGCAGATCCTTCACATCGGTGGTCAGATCGAAATTCTTCAAGACTGGTTGAAGAGAGCATTTTCCAGAAACGGGTCAGAACCGTCGGATAAGATCACGCCGCAACTGTTGATCATGAAGCATCAGCAGATTATCACGTTCTCGGAGAACATCGAGAAACTTTACACATACATCGCACTCATGATACTGCTGTCGGACACCATGATCATTTGTTGCTTAGGATTCGTCATCGCCATTGTAAGTATCCCGGTCGAAAGTAATTCTCGTTCGGTTTGTCAGATACGGGTGTGACATGAAAGCCATTAGCGAGTGTTCAGATTGAAAGGACATCCTATTGTGTGCATTAAAATCGAACAATACCGAACCGTTCCCGTAAATATTACAGTCGTTCAATGAGCCCAACGCCGCGGCGATTTTGGTAAAGTGCATATTATTCTACATCGCTATGAACGTGGATGTGTTCATGTACTGCTACGCCGGCGAGTACCTGAGCGCTAAGGTTAGCATTTTCAGAGATTTTAACGATTCACTAATCTGTCTAGCTTTTCTTTCTCAGAGCAAACTGATCGGTAACGCGGCATACAATTCTCTCTGGTATGACGTTGCTGCGAAGAACAGTCAGATCGTGGTGTTCGTCATTTTGAGGTCGCAGAAACTAATGACGATCACGTGCGGGAAGATCATGGAACTCTCTTTGGAACGCTTCACCAGCGTAAGATTCATTTCGCACTTGACTATCTCGCCGTATGATATATTTTTTTACAAGTGTCCGTTAAGAACTTCAATTGACACCGAAAGCGAGAAAATGAGCTGTTTCATCGGGTGACCGAAGGGTCGTCTGCTTATTTGACGAGCTATAATATTGTAGGTTGTGAAGGCATCGGCGTCGTACATGTCGGTGCTTTTGGCGATGTACTGAAGTGATATAATATATTGACGATGCTATTATTTATTAGTGCGAGAAATAATATTTTGGACAATAGGATTCTAGGTTTAGTAAGCTGCAAATATATAAAGTTTGTTGTAAATGACAGTCTTCAATTCTATTCATTTTCCGTGAGTTAAGTATTAAACATTATTTATGTTTTCTCTCACCAGAAAGGCGCATCATAATTGCAAGTTCAAAGTTGAGATATAAAAATCCCGCCCGTGTTACATACTTATTTTTACGGTTTTCAATAATATCGGCAACGCAACGGTAATGATCTACCCAAACCTTCCTACCTAAACACTCACGATTTTTTTCCGCAGCTCTCGATCCGTACATCCACAACGTAACGATTTTCCGCAGTGAGAAAACTTCCGCAACTTCGCTTTCTCTTAGTATTTCATGTTTGCATTTTCGAGTATTACTTTTCCACAGTTGCCAACGCCTCCCTTGACGTACGTTCTATCCATCACGACGCCCTTTGAGTCACGTCGTAATTGGCTCTTGCTTCTTGTTATCGCATAATTATAAGTTGACTTATTTATTTTCGCAAGAAAGAAACAGGTTTACATCCAGAGATGTGATTCGGAAGCGAAATTTCGCGATGTTCATTTTCAACGTGGAAAAGTCGAGAAGGAGAGTCAAGAGCTTGAAACTGTTAACTTAAAAACTTCTTTTGTCTCCCATCGCATTTCCCGACGTACACGGGCAGTCATTATCGTGCTCGTACCTCCTCGCAAATATCCGCGACCAGCGTGGACTATTATCTTAGTGTAGTTCGTTTCACTGGAACAAATTCGCGCGATGCGTTTCCCCTCCACAGAAGCGCGAAACTTTTCAACATCGCTCCGAGCGACTCGTGGAAGCTGCATTTCCAAGTTTGTCGCTCGTTGCATTTTTAAAGCGGCAATGCATTGTCCACGCATGGGTCACGACGGACGGCAGGAAGTAACAGCCCCTCGTCACTCAGAGTTGTGATTGTCCGGCTGGGACCGTTTGCATGTGGGGCTTCAAGTTCGGCAAACTTTCCGTATGTAGCGATAGGAATACTTAACGAGTGTCTGTGCGATTGGTCGGTGTTTGACGACACAGAAGTCGACTCCTCCTCTCCGGATTGCCCGGAGTGTGCGGAGGGTGATCTGATCGCAGGAAGGCAAGGGCAACGACCCGGTCGCCGCGTTGCCCGCGTTGTCCTCAGGGTACATGAAGACGAGCACGGTCAGTCGCGTGGTAGAGATCGGTCTACGCGCCTACGGTATCTGGCCGTATTCGCCATCGACCGTTCTCTACCGCCTGTTTTGGATCGTTGTGTTCGGCACGGTTCAGATCTCACAGTATCAGTACGTGATGATACAGTATCAATCCGACAGTTTACCCGACTTCATGGACGGAATGAGCAGCGCTATGACGTACACTCTGATGTTCGTAAAACTCGCGATTCTGTGGGCCAATCAACGGTAAGACGTGCCTCGTGTAACTCGCAGTTATTATTTCATTGGTGTGCAATGCCGGCTCTTTCGGAACTTCTCATCTTTACTGTAACGACAGATGCTCCGATAAATTCTGGTTGCCGGGTTTGAAAAATATTTTAAATATTCTTAATACATATTTTTTTATTCGTACCGAGCAATCTTGTGTGTAGGAATTTTTTGTTGGATTTATATAAAATTATGTTATATTATTGTTCTTTGTGTGTTTATACTTCTTCGACATACGAAATAATAAAGTTAAACGTTAGCACAACAGTAGAGCGCACATGAAATGCAAAAATTAAAATCAAAATCTAATTGAAGTAAATACAGGAAGGAAATATGTGTGGAAAATTAATGAACGGCATAATTAAATTAAACGTAAACACGAGATATCTGGTTAAAGTAGGTAGAATTGTCGAGGATGCACAATGACCAAGCGTTTGAAGGAGGTCATCGATTCGTTATTAGGTGCTTCCGTGAGAATGTAAAATAATATATGCATATTGCTCTCTCATTGTTCACGTTTAACTTGTCATTAACATTCACTCGAAAGAAAGGTACAAATACCAGCGCTGAAAGAAAATCGCGGTCGGTTGAATCCGATCATCCGTAGAACTTTTTCCGATATACTGCAAATGATGGCCGCGGACTGGAGAAATTGCAGCTTGAACAATCACAGTCTACGCATCACGACCGACAAGGCGAAACTGTCGCACCGCTTCTCGCATTGGATCATCGGCCTCCAATTGATCGCCATAACGCTTTATAGCTGCGGCGTTCTTGCCGTCAACACCGGTGAAGTGCAACGGATGAACGTATCCGCGCGGGAACAAATCTTGAAAATGAAGCTGCCGTTCAAGGTCAACACGTCTCCCGTGTACTTACTGATCACGATACTTCAGTTCCTGCACTTAGTCTTGTGCGGCTGCGGGATCTCCATGGTGAATTCGCTCATCGTCACTCTGGTGAGTTCGTAATTTCGTAAATAACGTAAAACTATCTCTCATTTCTGCTCTGTTATGCAGGGTGTTCCGAAATTAGTCCGACAAATTTCGGGTGTTTATAAAGGATACCAAAACGAATAATTTTTATCAATAAACCTATGTCAAAAAATGAGTTCCGCACAGCGCAAGTAGGATATATTCCACAAATATCGTAAAAATATATAACGTATATTCTTAGAATATTCGATAATATTGTATCCTAAGTTTTCTAAGCTTCTATATCCTGAATATATCCCAAGGATATACGAGATATACCATGATGTACCGTGAGAGAGATGTTATAGAAATGTTTTTAGTATGTTGCGTATATCCAGAATATGTTCAGTATAAGAATAATATATTTACAACAGTCGTTCGAAATGTTGGCCATTTATATCTATTTCCTTCACAAATAAGATGTATATCACTCAGTTTATCAAAAAAAAAATTTCCATTTTGAATAGAAATTTCGGATAAGCAAATAAGCAATGCTGTGATATCGAACTTGCGAGGCAACGACAAACAATAATGATTCTACCTGTTTGAAAATTTCCAACAACTTTCAGTTTGATAAAGTAATATTTATTAATGATTTTATCAAAAGACAATGACAAAAATGAAAACCAAGAAAAATTTGATATTTCTATATTGAAATAAATAGCTAACACTTCGTGCAACTGCTAAATAATTCACCCTGATACTAGAACAGTTCACTTGGACATGAGTTTGTTGACAGAAATCATTTGTTTTGGTGTTTTTTGTAAGTACCTCAAATTTGTCGGTCTAATTTCGGGACACCTTGTATAACTAAAAGCTTTTTTTCCCGTTAATAAATAATTATTATTAAAGTGATGCAGTAACGCAAAGCTTTGTGATTACTAAAACGCGAACACTAGATACTTCACATTGGCGGTCAGATCGACGTTATGCGCGACTGGCTATCGACAGCCTTTTCCAAAAACGTGATAGGCACCGTGAATGGAATCACGATGAGGGCTTTGGTCACGAAGCACCAGCGGATTATCATGTTCTCGCAAAACATCGAGAATCTCTACACATACATCGCGCTAATACTATTCGTGTCGGATACCATCATCATATGCTGTTTAGGATTCATCATTGTTACAGTGAGTAACACCGACGAAAATCACGAGATTGTGATTGATATATTGAGAGATGGAAATTTCATATAGAACTATTCATAATACGACAACAATTGTAAATGTTAAGCCGAGTCTACTTGTCGCGTGTATCGTAATATGTCACGGCATCGAAAAGCTATGAATTATTTTTAATTATTTCGTTCGATATTACAGTCGATCGGCACACCAGATGGCCCGGCGATTTTGTTGAGATCCGTGTTATATTATATGGTGATGAATCTCGAGGCATTTATATTTTGCCTCGCCGGTGAATACCTGAACGCTAAGGTTTGCGTCTCCCGAATTCCACGAGGGTTTTTCCACTTATATAGAGAAAAATCTATGATCCGTTTGTTGCTTTCTTTCTAGAGCCAAATGATCGGTGATGCGGCTTACGATTCCCTTTGGTACGACTTCACTTCGAGCAAGAGTCGTATTGTATTGCTGCTGATCCTGCGATCGCAGAAACGTTTGACTATCACAATCGGGAAAATCATGGATCTCTCTTTGGAGCGCTTCACCAGCGTAAGATTTGATTTTCCGTTCTCTCTTTGTGCGTTCTCCGGTTCAACTATGTAGAATTCATACGGTGAATTTTGAATCAACACATATACATTTTCCAAATTAAAAATTATCGGTTTTTGTCGAAATATTTTCCGAATTAAATTATCATTTTCTTATGGAATTATTTATGATGTATGTTACTCATTAAAATTCACGTTGCGTCACCAGTGACTAACATTGCAGGTCGTGAAGGCATCGGCATCGTATATTTCCGTGTTATTGGCGATGTACTAAGGATCTGAAGCTCGATCGATAACAATATCTTGACAGTTTCATTATTCATATAGTAATATCAGTAACTGTAACAACATCGCCAACAACATCGATAGAATAGTATTCCAGTGATTATCACTACATTATTGTATATCCGCGTTTATTTCTGTGCCTGACTGAAATCCACTCATACGTTTCTTCTCGCGAAAGAGAGACATGTTGTGTCAGCTAATAAAAGCACCGAGAAAAAAAAAGACGATTACGTAACGAAAGTTCACGATGCTTAAGCTTAAGGTATTACACGAGAAAATTAATTCTTCCTAGATAACTGAGTTCTTACTTTTTACGAGCCGCTATAAACCCTTTAAAGCTTGATGTTGCAAATCGTCCACAAGGGAGGAGAGAGAGAAAAAGAGAGCGGAAAAGCGCTTAACGCTTTCTTTTACTACTTCGTTTCTACGTTCTTCAGGTACTGACTTACTTTTCACGATTATTGCGTGCAACCTCGTCCGACGTACGTTCGAGTAAGTTTCATCCGGGAAATTGCGCGATTTGCATTTTTTCTAGAGAATAAGTTACGAACGCGGGTTCGGTCAGGCTCGCTGTTGTACAGAAAGAATTCTCTACCGTTGCAGCGAGCGAAACGGAATCTTGGAAGGAGAAACTTTCGCTTCTACTTCCTTCCTTCTCCCCCCCCCCCCCCCCCCCCCCCCCCC